AAAAAAACACGAAGCACTACATTTAAATTTATTGGATATACTGATAAAACCTTCTGTCCTTTCAGGGGAGGGGTAAAGCTACGTACATATTACCCTCTTCAGACCCTACTTATGGAAAACTATTGGGTTTGTTGTTGTTGTTGGATATGCTGATAAAAATATTGATATTAAACCCAAAATCTCTACATATATACGCCTAGTCGCCTGCAGAAACACAAGAATCCGTTACGTTTTCGTGTGATCTCCTCTTATGAATATACGAAAACATCAATCTTGATTCACATATACCGTAGTGTATACTGTATTATTGTTAACTTAGATCTAGATTAATCGAGCTAGTAAATTTCGAACACCAAATAATTAAACCAAGAAAGAGAACCAACAAAGAAAGTCTTCACCAATCATGGACCGTTGAAAAATCCACAATGCCATATTGCAAAGTGCCAACTTTCCTTTACTTTATTCATCAATCCCCATGCTTATATATATATATATATATATATATATATGAGCAAACATTTACTTCTTTACCAAAAATCTCCATTTCTAAAGATTCAAAATCAAACATTTTTCTTCATCAAATATGCATAACAGTACATCATCATCATCACTTGGCCCAGGTGGTTTAGACCTAAGCCAAGTTTTCTTCAAATCAATTTCCAATACTCATCCACCATCGCCCACAAAACGCCACACGAAAATCTCCGTGATTGGCGTTGGCAATGTGGGGATGGCCATTGCTCAAACCATCTTGACTCAGGATCTCGTCGACGAGCTAGCTCTCGTCGATGCGAAACCTGATAAGTTACGCGGCGAGATGCTTGATCTCCAGCATGCCGCCGCGTTCCTTCCCCGGACTAAGATTGTCGCTTCTGTCGACTATTCTGTTACGTCCGGGTCGGATCTTTGTATCGTCACTGCGGGTGCCCGACAGAACCCGGGTGAAAGTAGATTGAATTTGCTGCAGAGGAATTTGACTATGTATAAAGGTATTGTTCCGGAGTTGGTGAAGTATTCGCCGGAGTGTATACTGTTTATTGTATCAAATCCGGTGGATGTTTTAACTTATGTTGCGTGGAAGTTATCCGGGTTTCCGGCGAATCGGGTTATAGGGTCGGGTACTAATCTGGATTCATCTAGGTTTCGGTTTTTGATTGCTGATCATCTTGATGTTAATGCCCAGGATGTCCAGGTCAGTTCATTGTTTCCTATTCCTTTTCTTCAAATTTCTTTGATTATGAATTTTCCAATTTTTGTTCTAATCATTTAATTATAGTGTTTGTATTTTATACAATATTTATGTAGCAAAATTGAAGATTTGATGTTTTAATTCAAATTACAAAAGGAGATACTTTGATCATTGTACTCTGAATTTAGTCACTCCCAGAAGTATTATTTATGTTCAGTGGACAAATTAGGATGTAATTTGTCATAATTATTTGGTTGCGCCCCCCCACTATGCAAAATATTATATCATGCCAATTCTGTCATTAATTTTGTTCTTTCCTTCTCATGTTGTAGAAACATTGTTAAAGTAAAGGCTGAATACATACTAAGATTTTTATTTAGACACCTCAACTGGGCCTTATTCTGACATTTTGCTAGGGGTAGAACTAGTCCTTCGACTAGCGATTCGGCCGAACCCAGTAGCTTTGGTCCAAACAGCATATTTGTCGTAAAAAAATCCTCTAAATATGTACCAATCTTTAATTTAGAACCCAATAACTTAAAAGGGCTAGACTTTCGAACCCATAAGCTTCAAATCCTGACTCCGCTCTGCATTTCGTTGACATGGTTGATAGCGTGACTACACCGTATAAAATGCTTAATGTTTATATGTTATTAAGTATCTGGTTTTACAGTTTTGAACATAGGCGACAACAACTTTATATAGTGCATCTAAATAGTTATTTGTTTTTCTACTAGCAACTGTATTATATAAATATTTTTTTTGTTGAGAAGTATGCAATATATACATGAATTGCTTCTCATTTTCTTAAACTGTAGTGAAAAGGGTTAATTTTTATGGTTCTTGTATCTTTATAGCTCCATACAGCTGGTATATTATGGTCGAACATATTATATATGCTTCGTGGCGATGAACGAAAAAGATCTATATAGGCGATACCACTTAGTTGAGATTAAGCTTGTGTCATGTTACTACATTTACTTTAGGTGCTATGTTTGTTAGGAGTCTTTTAGTTTTGTCAGAGATTTATATCTGTTCCAGTAGAAAATATATAGAACTTCCGTTGTTAGAGACATTTTTCTCCTTGTCTGAGTTTTGTCCTTTTTACTTTTCTAAAACTTTGTTTTTCTCATATAATATTGGACTGAGATGCGTTTAAATGGAGTGACATAGATATCAAGAATTCATATATATAGTCGGCACCAACTTGTTTGTGGTTGAAGTGCTGTTGTTGTTGTAGTACAGCTTACCACTAGGTTTGGACTTGGAACAAAATTAAGGCTATACACTGATACTGAACTCCATTTTACACTCTATGCTGTATCTAAAAAATGCTATCCTCTGTTTGATTTGAATGGAATCTTTGATGTCTATATTAGGCATACATTGTTGGGGAACATGGTGACAGCTCCGTGGCACTTTGGTCGAGCATTAGTGTTGGAGGTGTTCCTGTGCTTAGTTTTCTGGAGAGGCAACAAATTGCTTTTGAAAAGGAGACACTAGAAAAGATCCATAAACAAGTTGTGGAGAGTGCATATGAAGTGATTAGTCTGAAAGGTTACACGTCATGGGCGATTGGGTACTCTGTAGCAAACTTGGCTCGATCAATTATTCGAGACCAGAGAAGGATTCACCCTGTCTCAGTCCTCGCGAAGGGATTCTATGGTATTGACGGCGGTGATGTGTTCTTGAGCTTGCCTGCACAGCTTGGTAGAAGTGGAGTTTTGGGTGTGACTAATGTGCATCTTACTGATGAGGAAATTCAACAACTTAGGAACTCTGCTAAGACTATCTTAGATGTGCAAAACCAGTTGGGAATTTGACTTGAGTTAATGTTAGTAATAGTTTCCCTCTGTTACCACTACTTAAACTTAATTACTATTGTTTTTTACCATACAGTACTTGAATTTTGTTTTCTTGCAAAATCTTTCCTGAGAAGGAAAATTGTGGGAAATACTTGTGTTACAGCAGTACATGTTGGCTGCCCCCTTATATGTGGTACTGACTTTGAAATAGATTTTAACAGTGAACTTTGATGCTACTCTTACTAACCGTTGTTTTTTTCATTGTTGATCACCTTACTGTCTTGTTGTTTTTATTCTGCTTTTATATGGCTTTGTGGTACTGTTCTTTCTTGTCTATATTTTCATTAATGTAGTGTTTATGCTTTCCTGAGCTGAGGGTCTATTGGAAACAGGCTCTCTATCCTTACAAGGTAGATGTAATGTCTGCGTACACACTACCCTCCTCAGACCCCACGGTGTGGGATAATAGTAGGTATGTTGTTGTTGTTGTTTGATGCCTACTCTTGTATAAATAGAGTTTCATACTACTTGTGTGTTACGATCAGTGGCGGAGGCATGATTTCCGCTAAGGGGTTTCAAAAAGAAAAAAAAAAGTTAAAAAATTAAAAGAGATTGTGGCCAATGGGAATTGAACTAGCAAGCTTGTAAAGGTTTTGATCCCCTTAACCACTAAGCTATGCTCTTGAGTTGAGTTAAGGGGATTCAAAATATAATATGTAGATGTACAAACCGAATTTTGCCTTATATGTACAGTGTAATTTTTAGCGAAGGGGGTTCGAGTGAACCCCACTTCCGTCCCTCTAAATCCACCCCTGGTTACAACACAATATGTTGGCTACCTACTTATTATCTTTGGTACTGACATTGAAATCCGTATTATGAGGATTCATCATGAATTGACAAGTTTTCCGTTGGCTACCAGAGTACTGTAACCCTCCTTCTTTATCCGAGCATAGTATGACGATGATATGAATGAAGCTTAAAGAAGGAAGTGAGGATTTATATAGCCGACCCCAACTTGTTTGAGATTAAGGCGTAGTTGTTTTATTGACTTTGAAATCTAATATTAGTGCTTCTAAGCTTGTCTTGAAACAGTGTTTTTGAAGGGGGAGAAGAAGTTTCAGAAATCATATATATTGGGCAAATAGTGTAAAAGCAAAATATTTTTGTATATATGAGAATTGTAGGAATCCTCTTAACTATTGGTTCAAGAACTGGTACTCCATTTGTATGCATCATCAGCCAAGGGCGTATCTAGCGTGTAGTGTATGAGTTTCCAGAAACCCAGTAACTTTTGCGTAGACCCTGTATTTTTATTAAATTTTTTACTAAATATCTATAAATATCTAATGTTGAACCTAATTATTATGGTATATTAATTTGAGATTGCGACAGGAACCCATAAACTTCAAATTCTGAATCCGCCTCTCTCATAAGCAATCCATCCTTTTATTTTCTTCCTAAATGATGAATATATTAGCACCTATCAATGTCAAGAAAAGAATATAAATGAAAGGAAGCTCTAGTTTCCGTATAAACCATCGTTATTTTATATATGTGAATAACTTGAGTCTAGTTATGAAATCTGTTAGTGGAAAATAAGGAGAAAAAAAGAATTATACCCTATCTAAACGTATATAACAATTTTCAATATTACAATCACCAACATCTTTTCAACTCCGTCTGTGTTAGCATGTTCATATTGTCGATCTCCAGTTCAGATAAAGTAGGAGAGTTACGATAGGCTGACAGTCAATCGTATAAACCTAGTTAATTTATGATGAATCCTAATAAAATATACTCCATACAATAACATGAAAATTCTCGCTCTTAGCTCTTCACATAGGAGAAAAAAAAATGATAAATAGACTTTCCATTACATGAAAACTAAATACAAGAAGCTCAAATCAAATGTAACGTACACCACTTCGTGTACAAAATACAATAACAAACTCATAATTTCAAACTACATTCATCAAATTACACAACCATAGCATAAAAAAGAGAAACAAAAAGTTACCACCAACCATAATATACCCTTCAAAAGATAAGAAAAATTGAAAGCAAAATACTGAATTTTTCAAGGGCAAATAAAGCCAGATGGAACCTTTTTCCCACAGACATTAAGTAAAAGACTTAGTGAAAGAGGGACATTAAGATTAATCCCAAGAACATTTGCTTTAATTGCAGTGCAAAGGCAAAGGGCAGCTTCAACATCAACAAGTCCTTTAATAAGATTACAACAAGGTTTTTTTGGAATATTACCAATTTTAAGGCCAAGTAAATTTTCAAGAACATTAGCACAAACACCTAATTTTAGGGTATTTTTTGGACACTTGGCTTTATAATTAGGGTTAGGGGTTGCTCTGATGGTAATCAACCTCCACTTCCAACCAAGAGGTTGTGAGTTCGAGTCACCCAAGAGCAAGGTGGGGAGTTCTTGAAGGGAAAGATGCCGAGGGTCTATTGGAAACAGTCTCTCTACCTCATGGTAGGGGTAAGGTCTGCGAACGCACTACCCTTCCCAGACCTCACTGGTGAGATTATATTGGGTTGTTGTTATTGTTGTTGTTAGGGTTTGGCTTTGGCTTTGACTTTGGTTTTGGTTTTGGTTTTGGACTAGGGCAAGTGCCACATGCACTAACAAGAGAGAGAAATAGAAGGTTGACAAGAAGAAAAAAGGCAAGAGAAGTAATTCTTTTTGAAGCCATTTTGTCAAAAAGTTTAATATTTCTCTTAATTACTATAGTTGAGAAGAGAAGGTTTTGTTTGATGGAAATGGAATTGTGAGGGGTGGGTTTTTATAGCATGCAAAAAGAAGATGAATGTGAAGAGATATAATTAAAATAAAAATAAAAAAAACATGTTGAATTATTTAATTTCTGCATGCCCCTAGAGATTTTAGCTGGCAACACAAGCAAAGATTTCTAAAATCTTTTGGATGCATTTGAATAATATATGGCGTCTTGTAAATTTTCATGTTCCTTGCCTAAGTTGCAATATCTATATCTATATCTATAAATATAGTTAGTGGCGGAGGTTGAAATTGAACCAACGACCTTACAAAGGTTTTGAATCTTCTTGACCACTGAGCTATACTTTTAGGTTGTGTCAAGGGGATTCAAAATATAAAATATAAAGGTACAAATCGAATTTTACCTTCTATATACAATGTAATTTTCCAGCAAAGGGGGTTTGTCCCCTTCCGTCCCCCTAAATCTGCCACTAATTATAGCAATGTTATGATTTAATATATATGTGTTAGACGATGTAAAGATATTTTATATTATCTATGTAATTTAACATGCATGTTATAGTAGGTTAGTTAATTAGTACCATTTTTATCAACTGATAAATTCATTCTTATTAGAGATTTACCTGAAATTATCTTATAAATAACCTGATTAGAACCAATAGGTTGCCAAAATGTCAATTTTCATCCTTTTTTTAAACTTTAATCTAGACGAGAGTGCATTATTGCATAAAATATCACAGGTTTCGTCAATTTCTTTTGTTATTCTTTGGATGCATTATTGCGTTACTTGTCTTAAATCATAACGGTTGTCATCATTTACCTAAAACTAAATGATTAGTAAGGTAAAGTTTAGCCCAGTTTGTGTTGCCTTGGTCCTATGTTTTTGCGAAAATACCAACACGGTTATGAGATTATATGCCCTCGTGAGACTTTGCCGGCAGCTACACCATGAATCCTCTACATGAGGCTGCCATCATAAGGCAATGTGAGGCGCAGAGGAATGATTATATAGCCAAGGCATATGGGTAACAAAACCGATGCTATTGTCCCCCTTATTTGTACTTTTCCTAATTGTTGTATTTTTCTTTTCTTTTATTAATAAAAAACTAGCCCTAGGCGCTTGCCTTCCGGTAGTGGGAAAAAAAAAACTAAAAAGACTAATATAGGATGATATGGGAAAATGACATTGTATAGCCGTTCTTAAAATAATACCTGAAAAATGTATGTATGTATATATATATATATATATATATATATATATATGTATGTATATGTTATATACAAAAATTATACAAATTTTATATACTTTTTTGACTATTGAATATAAATAGTTTCTGGGGGTTAAAAGTGAAAATAGCCCTAGATATTAGTGGTCAAATCATGAGCTTTAATAATATCTTTGCTTGATCAATATCAGCAAATGTGGGAGTCACGGACATAATTAGAATGTACTAAGGGCTCCACTTACAAAAGAAAGCAAGGTACTATATGCCAAAACAAATTATTATAGGATTTAATTGTTTTAATTATTTTGATATAATTATTTCTTCATGCTCTATATAAAACATATATTTTATTGTAAGACCTGAATTTTAGCTGCCACGAGCATATTTTGTAGATCTTGGAAGCATGTGAAGAAGGAATATAAGTTGTCATGATCTAGTTGGGAATTGTTATCTTGTTTCCTGATTAATTTTAGGAATTTTTACATCCTATAGCAAATGTTGATATCTTATTTATAATAAATAAATATCTTTTTAAAAAATTATATTCCATAGTTATCTTTTGATTTTTATAGCCAAATATCTATTTAAGATTACTTTCTACCCTTAAGCCATAAAATACTCTTAATTAATTGCACTAACCTTATAGCCTCGTATTGGCTGGCCTAAGTCAGAATCCTATGGAGAAGGTCTTGTTCACTTGCTTCTCGAGTGTATGTTTATCCCTTCATTCCCAAATCATTCAAGGGCTTGTTTGTATAATCATGGGTTCTTTATCCCTATGGAGTGTATTGTTTAGATCTCTCATTCTTTTAGATGGAGGTTCGAAATCAAAGCAACGACCATCGAAATCAAAGCAGCGGCCATGGAAACCAAGCCCTAGGAGTGGAAAGGCCTCATCAAAATCAACGGTGTTCCGATCGAGTTAGTCCGGCCTGAAATCCGCAGTTACAAAGCTTTCGAACCAATTCTCCTCTTAGGCCGCCACAGATTCGTCGGAGTGGACAAAGACGACAGAGTTGGGGGCTAAGCAACTTGAATTTTCTGTTAATATATTTCAATGTATCTCGCTGTATTTTCATGTATTTCATTGTATTCGTTGTCTTTTTTTAATTGTATTTCAATGTATCTCGCTATATTATGTATATTTCACTATATTCATTGTCTTTTTTTCCATTGTATTTCAATGTATCCCGCTGTATTCTATGTATTTCATTGTATTCACTGTCTCGCTATATTCCATGAATGTATTCATATTTTTTTTTAAA